AAATTAAAAGTTTTATAATACATCTTACATGTTTCTACTAGGATCCATTTACTTCACTTCCCAACATTATGATGAACATGTTTATAATGATGCTTGGTGAGATCAACTACGTGGATACGTTTATGCCCTGGGGAAAGCTTTTTTATCCTTTCATGGCAAATTTAGTATTGGTGCTGTTTTGTCTAACAATGCCTATTATTCTGATGAACATGTTGGTAAGATGAACGTTTTCTCATATTTTATATAGCTATTTCAAAAAAGATTGTCGGATAAAATGGCGAATGTCAATGGTCGAATGGCGATTGCACGACCGAAAGTGGCCATGGGTTTTGATAGTTGAAAGGCAATAACAACTGATTTGTACTGTAAAATGGTCTGTGGTGAACAGTGGCTCCATTTAGTCTCCATTTCTATGTAAGGTGAATCCAATAACTGAAATTTTGTTGAAATTCAGTCTAACCATAATTCCTTTCGGCCGTGCAATCTCCCTTCGACAATCGCCGTTCGCCGTTCTCCTCGACAACGTTCTTTGAAATAGCTGTATATTACTCAGTGTGCATAAATCTTATGTTTTTGAAAGTATTTTTCTGCTTCAGGTAAAGTTTATTTCACATTCTCGCACTCATTAATTATTCATGATGTATCCAGCCAATCCCTGATTGTAATTTGTACCACGTGCAGTAACTGGATACCAGAGGAAGTATTCCTACGTTGTATTCTACCTTTTTCCAGTTACTTCCAACTTGTTTCCAGTTACTTCTACCTTATTTCCAGTTACTTCCAACTTGTTTCCAGTTACTTCTACCTTATTTCCAGTTACTTCTACCTTGTTTCCAGTTACTTCTACCTTTTTCTAAATTCTTCTAGCTAATGATAATCAAAGTATTTGAAATGATAGAATTAATTTAGCCATGCTCCTGGTTAAACAAAAATGGCGGCATTGGAAAGASGAACGTTGGATTCCTAAACTCACAACTTCGCGTTTCTAACTCGATAAAATAGGTTGGTTTGTCTGTTGGGGATATCGACGCCATCGAGCGAAGTGCACTCATCGACAGATACGTTCTTCAGGTATCTTCAGGTTTAGTTATTCATATATCAGTCTCATAAATTAATAAATATTGATAATATCTGTCTAAACTTGATCACTTTGATCTTGCTTGTGTATTTATGTCTTATTTTGTGTGTATATTTTAGATTTCATTATTACACAACCTCGAGGAGTCTTTTCCAAGATGGCTTCTTCGAAAAGTTCAGAAAAAATCCTTTATTTACTTTCCCAACAAGACGCCTTCCATACGAAAAAGGGTACGTACAAAAACCAGTAATAACACTGTATTTAGTCGCGTGGAAACGTTCTCTTCATTTTTGTTTCGTTTCGTTTCGTTTCGCTTTGCTTTGCTTTGCTTTGTATTGTTTTGTTTTGTATTATTTTGTTTTGTTTTCTGTTTTGTTTTTTTGTTTTGTTTTTTGTTGTGTTGTGTTATGTTGTGTTGTGTTGTGTTGTGTTGTGTTGTGTTGTGTTGTGTTGTGT